GGGCAGTTGCATTAAAAATACAAAATAAACACCAACCCCCTAACCAAACATACTGAAAAAACCATCATGTGCATGTACTGCGTCCATGCTGCATGTTGGAGAAAACAGACATCAAGTTGATGTCACAGGGCATGCCTTGCAACCCTGCTATAAGCTTTGCGGTTCTCCTCTGGGTGCTTTCCAAGTGCCTTACCATCCTTTTTATACTGTGGAGCCCAGAAATGCACACAAGGTCAGGCTGCACCAGCACTAAATATAGCATGAGAAGCACTTTTTTTGACTGGCTACGTTGTGTTTAGTGCACCCCACAACGCATTTTGCCCCTCTGCTGTAAAGACACACTTGTTGGCTTGTACCAAGCCTGCTGCCACCAGCAGCCTGGGCCCCTTCCTGCTGAGCTGCTCTCCAGTTATTCATCTCCACAGCTGTGCCTTGTCCAGCAATGCTTTGTCCCAAGTGCAGCACCTGACATTTTTCTTGAATTTCATGTTATTCAGGATGTATAAAACCAATAAAGCTGCATCCTTAATTCTAAATATATGATCAGCTATGCTGATATGTGCATCTCAGGGAAATGTGCATAGAAATGTAGTAAAAGTCTAGAGAGTAATAACATCAGAAGAGGATATGAATGTTAATGAGTCATTTTGCCGGCAGTGAACTAATGAAGCCTTGTTTCCTGGAGGTTTGTGCCTCATTTTTGATTTACTGCTGTCAAAAAGGTGAAAAATAGAACTGCAGCTTTTCTTGTTGTTGGGCTTTTACAGGGTTTTGATATGAATGGATGCCATCTAGTGAGATGTGACCTCTTTGACACCCTTTCACTATTCCTGTAGTTTCTCGGTATTGTGCAGCTGCATGATTACTTAGTGTCTATGGGAAGCAACTAATCTTCTTAATGTTTAGCTGAAATCAGCAAGTGGTTTTGGAGTTAATGGGAGGAACAAATACGTGTGTGTACACTTACACATACTGAGTACTCCATAAGCAATCATAAGGCTGCAAGAAAGAATGTGCCAGGAACTCTGGTTGAACAAAACTTTTGTAATTACTGATTCATATGCAACTCTATTTTATTAATTACTGGTCATAATGATCAAATGTCAGGGATCTCTGCATTCTTCAGTATTCTTTATGTAATAAAATGTGAATTAAAAGCAAACATTGATGGGAAAGGCAAAGTAAGGGAGCAAATATATAATTTTTAGAAACGTTTGAAATTGAGTTCAAGGCAATAATTTTGTGTTGCAATTAAAGTTGTAACATTGCTTTTTATTTCTTAGAAAGCAAGGGGCATTTTGTTTATTTATATGATTTGTAATGCAATTTTGTTGATTAAAGCCTGTGTAAATGTAGCTGAATAGGAAACATTGTCATTAGTAATTTCTAAATGATGGAAAGATTTGTTGGTTATATTTCTGTAACACGGAACTGTCAATAGCATTTTCAAGCTAGTATAGTTCTTACAAAGGAACTTATTATTTCTTTGCTAGTAACCTACTGATTTCTACAAGATTTCTCAAAATAATGCAAAAATGTATGGTGCTAATGATTGATAATCGTCTGAATTATATGAAGAGAAAACGTTTTGTCAGAATTTAGTTAAAAAAGTGTGTTTACATGAAGCGACTTAGCAAAGTGAGGAGATTCTTTAGTAATCCAGCAGAAATCCAGGAGTTTGTACCTCCTGGCCCTGGGAGAAGAGGGACTTTCCTTTCACTCTGGATTCAACTGCTATAACATGTCACGAATGTTAGTCTACCTTTATGTGGTTTCATCATCTTGTGCCTGTTTCATGAACTCACTGCCACCACCATTTGGATCAATAAACCCTATATATTTCTATTCCCAAGCCCATTTAAATAAAATGAAGGGTTAAACGTAGTATTATTTTTCTGCATTGTCTGTTGTGGGGAAAACAGTGTCTCAGTTTGCCCTCTAAAGCACCTCTACAAAGGAAACAAAAAGTGAGTGGTGTCAGTGTCCCAAAGGTGGTTGTTCTGCAACTTAAATAGACTTTGAGTAAGACAGAGACCCATCTCCTCGTTGAATACTTAACTGCATGTATCTATGAGCCTGGTAAATAACATAAGCTTGGCACAGTTCTTACAGGCATCAGCTGGGTTTGGGGTTGGCCTGTCTGGGATTAAAAATTAAAGCCCCGTGGCTCCATTTTGTAGTTAAAAAATAATACTTGTTATATTTTAAAGAAAGTATTTGTGATGTCTAACAGTAATTCCATATATCTGTGCGTGTCTTGCAGTGTGAAGACAGATATCATTTAATTTTGTTACAGCTGATCAATTCTATTAAAAATATTACTCATTAAAATTACTGTACAATTTTAGAATAAACTTATTCCTTTAGAAATAGCAGAACTCTCTCTCTGAAAATTCTTACCTAGCTCTTAAAAATATGTGCTATTTATATGAAAATAATAGAGTGCTGTAACCTAAATCCAGAAGTATATGCTTTTTTTTTTTTCGTATTTACAAATATCTCCCTATATTTGTGCAGCTGTCATTATTTTATCTTAAATAAATGTGAACATAGAAGACAAAATTAGAGTTGTAAATAAGGCTGGAATATCTAGCATACAAGCAGGATTTGGAACCTTCCAAATACTTGCTGAGAACTAATTAAACTTGTCCTGCTTCTATAATTGCTTTGCACCAGCCCTCTATGTTTGGAAAGGAAAAAATGATAGACATTCAGACAAAGGCAGAGGTTGCTTTTTTCCTGTCTTGAGCTATTTCTGCTCTTCAAGAATGTAGGCTTGATGTCTGCAAATGCTGCACTGTTTATAATTAAACAGTGGATCAATAAAATAATAAATGCAAAGCACTGAAGTTAGGATTTCTGTTGACAGATTGTGCATCTGAGGATAGCTTATTTTTATTGAGAGGCCACTGTTACAGAATACAAGAAGTGGTATTCTTCCATTAAACGTCCCACACTTATAAAAACTGAAATGCACAGTATCATTTTAGACGAACATTTCACTTTGAAGTTGCATGGAAATTAGAATAGTATTTATTTTCAGAGAGAGAGAGAGAGAGAGAGATGGTAACAACATTGAGGTGCAAATTCAGTGTTTGGTGCCTGTAATCAAGGCTAAACAAACTGCTTCACTTCAACCTTCTCTTATGCTTTGTTTCCTATAGAACAGATCATAAGCACTGTGAAGCTTGCTTATATGGTGATGCAAGGACTTAGTCTTTTCCAGAGACTGACTTTCAAGACAAAATCCCTTCCTTCCTCAACAGCCCCAGTATTCAGGTTCATTGAGCACAAACTGAAGAGAGCCTGGAATAGAGCAAATCCTCCATCCGTCCTGAAATACCACACAGCCCTTTCGTGCCATTTGAGTGAGGGGCTGGAGTGAGCAAATGTCCAAGTAAACAGTGTGTTCTCTCTATGCCTCATAATTAGTAAAACAACTGCATGTAGACACTGTAAAAGCACTCACAGCACTGATAGGAAGGGTGAAGAGTGGGATTCATCTGCCTAAATGTCAGTGTATGTAGCTGAGCTCAGCTCCAGCTCCCATTGTAATCAAGGGAAGAATCGTAGTTGAGGGAATATCCTGAAGACCTTTATTCATAAATATGCATAAAGCATAATATGCCTAAGCATACCCAATTTCTACCTCCACACCTATCCCCCCTAAAAATACAAACACCTAAATCTTCATTTTTTCATTCCCTTCGTAATTAGAATGATGAACTCTGTCATTTCTATAAAGTCACTGGCTAGCATCTTCTCTAAAAATAAACATTCTAGAACAGAAAGAGAGAAGTCAGTTAACACTTGTATTAGAGGTCACAGATTCAGAGTTAATTTAGAATTTGGCAGTTGGTTCAGATATGATTGGCAAGAAGATAGCCAAAAGGCTGCAAGTATAAATTGGAAATAAATGGAAATAGATTATGTGACTGGGATACAGCTCTGAATCCATAATGCATGTCTTGAGACTGACTTGCTCATAAAAGAGCATGTGTTTAATGTGTCATAAAAATATTTAAGCCACATTGGTCTTTGTATAAATGTTCCATTTTTAAAGTTGAAATCTGGAGTGGCTAAAAATGACTTCAGCATGCGTATCCTTGCCATCAGCATAAAGGGTAATACATACATACATACATACATACACACACATATATAAAGAAAAATCACTGGAAACTGTTTTTTTCCCCTTTGAGATCTGCATTACCTTCTTTGTTGCTGTTCTTAGCTTCTGTGTCCATATCTGTTTTTTAGTCCTTGCTCTGCCATCTATTTTGTTACATAGTATTCCTCTGAGAGAAGCTGTGGATGTTTTCTGTTAGGATACAGTTGGGAGGCAGTGAGTTGCTGACCAGAAGGCATCATGTATGGGTTTGTGAGTGTGCATGGGTGACTGCAGTGTGCCTGTGTTCCTTTGACTACTTCTGTTCCAAAGATGATAAAGATGATATATGTGTGTAAATAATGTAAGATATGTTTTGAATGTGCTTACGTTCTGCATCATTAGTTTTTTCACTGTTGGTAGCTAAACTGCAAGAATCTGAACATCTGCTACCACCTGCTAGCTCAAGTGTCTGCGGGAAGCAGTGACAGCAGTTAGAAAAGATCACCTCTAAAATGTTCTCTTTTCTTTCTGCTATTCTCTTTTAACTAAGCACTGTCATCTTAACTTAGCTCAGAATTTAACCTGGTGCCATATCTAAGGAATGGTTTCTAGAGTGTTAAGAAACATTCTGCAGTGACAGAAGAGGAGAGGACGTGACCAGAGCTGCTCTCACCCCATCACTCTCCACAAATGCATGGCCACCATCCCTTGTACATACGTGTTAATCTTATACCTGAGTCAGTATTACTCCATCCATAACAGCATGTGAAATACAGATCAGTGCTAACATCTCCAGTGGTACTGTGATGCATTAGATTATGATTGTTTTGTGTTATACATATATTACAGTATTTTAATATTTGTGTTATGTTTATCTTATTCCTCACAGGTGAGATATGTGCTTTTAAAATTCACGGACAAGAAATGCCATTTGAAGCTGTTGTGCTTAACAAGACATCTGGAGAAGGTCGTCTTCAAGCCAAAAGTCCTATTGATTGTGAGCTGCAGAAAGAATACACGTTCATCATTCAAGCCTATGACTGTGGATCAGGACCAAGTGGAGTAAACTGGAAGAAATCTCACAAGTAGGTGAAAATAACATTTATTCGCTTTGTTGTGCATTTACTCTATGGTGCAAATCAGATTGACGGTACCCTTTTTATAGAATCATAGAATGGTTTGGGATGGAATGAACCTTTAAGATCATCTAATTCCAAACCCTCGCTGTAGGCAATTAGACCTCTTCTAGAGCAGGTTGCTGAAAGCCACATCCAGCATGGCCTTGAATGCTTCTAGGGAGGGGGCATTCACAACCTGTTCCAGTGTGAGAAACTCCAGCGAGTGTAAAGAATTTCTTCCTAATATCTAGTCTAAGTCTACCCTCTTCCAGTTTAAAACCATTTTTCCTTGTCCTGTCGCTACCTGCTCTTATGGAAAGTTCCTTCCCAGCTTTCCTGTACGCCCCTTCAGGTACTAGAAGGCTGCTATAAAGTCCCCCTGGAGCCTTCTTTTTTCCAGACTAAAGGGCCCCGGCTCTCTTAGCCTGTTCTCACAGGGGAGGCCTTCATGGCCTTCCTCTGCACCTACTCCAACAGCTCAATGTCCTTCTTGTGTTGGGGTCTCCAGAACTGGAAACAGTACTCCAGGTGGGGTCTTGTGAGAGCAGGGTAGAAGGGCAGAATCACTTCCCTTGACCTGCTGGTCATGCTTCTCTGGATGCAACCCAGAATATGGTTGGCCTTTGGGCCTGCAAGTGCACAGTGCTGGCTCATGTTGAACTTTTCATCAACCAGTGCTCCCAATCCTTCTCTTCTGGGCTGCTCTTAAGCCATTCTCCACCCAGCCTGTGTCTGTCTTGGGATTGCCCCAACTCAAGTGCAGAACTTTGTACTTGAACTTGTTGAATTTGATGAGATTACACGGGCCCACCTCTCAAGTCTGTCCAGGTCTCTCTGGATAGCATCCTTTCCCTTTAGCATGTCAACTGTGCCACTCAGCTTTGTGTTATCTGCAAAGTTGCTGACGGTGTACTCAATCCCACTGTCCATGTAGCATACGAAGATGTTAAATAAAGCCAGTCCCAATGCTGATCCCTGAGGAATACCACTTATCATCAGTCTTCCCTTGGACATTAAGCAGTTGGCCACAACTTTCTGAGTGCAGCCAGAAAGTCAATTCCTTATCCAGCAAGTGGTTCATCATCATTTCCCTTTTTCTCCAATTTGGTGACCAGGATATCATATATATGTTTATACTGTAGTCATGTAGAAAGCAGTTAAACCAAGATGATTAGTTGTCACAATGATTTGTCCACTTTTAATTCCTATTTCTTTTTAGAGATTTTTTCTTTTTTGCCTCTGACAGTTTGACTTACTCTGCACTGGTTCCAGCTGAAGTTTTTAACAGAATCACGGTTTAAGTGGAGAAGTGTATCTCAGTTTTGGTTAACTTTTCCATTTTTGCTTTTATATTAAATACATTGACTGAACAGATCATCCAGGAAATAGAACCTAGCTCTTAGAAATTGTAATTAAGTGTTCTTTCAGTTCATCTCATTTGAAATGGTAAGAAAAGGGGAAATTGATCATTTTTTTAGTATGTGCATATATATAAGCTATTTCAGTGTTGCCTTTGCACAGTGGATTTCTGATCTCAACTTTTGGACAGAAAGTCCCAGAGGAATTAACATCCTCTTGTTGTGAAAGGGTATTCAAGGTGAATAGGTGGTACTTTTTACTGTGCAGCCAGTTTCCTGCGTACCTTTTAAATAAAGGCAGTGCCCTTTTCCCCCTGCAAGGCATGCAGACCATTTGTCATTAACTCAGATATAGAAGTATAACTCCTGTTCATTTTGCTAAGAACCACTTAAATGATTAATAGGTCTTCCTTTTATTCATCCAGGCAATTAAAATTTTCATTAGCTCTATAAAGCATTCCAAACTCTTTTAGGATGTTTAAAAAGAATGTATATCTAGAAAAAAAGTCTACAATATCAAATAATTATCAAGTTACAGAAACAATTTTTCCTCAATACTATTAGTTTTTATAGCATTTTTCACTCACATCACTAACAAGCTACTGAGTGTTAGACTTGGAAAATTTGGTCTAATCATAGTCATTAAATGTGGCTCACTCAGAGCGGCCTTTGCTATGCTTTCTTTCGTTTGTATAGTAAACACACTAAGCTAGGTTTTTGGAGTCCAAACACCTATTCCTGGTTCTGCCATTGATCTGGAACACCCCTTCCCTTTTCTGTCTCCTTGTTACCCAGCTTATCCAACCAGATACAAAGTTGTTTCAATTTAGTACACTGAGAGTTAGCACGTTAAGTACAGAAAATCTCTTATTTTTGATCCTCAGAGGCTTACCATAATGTGCATATTGAAAATGTGGGGAAGTCATTATCTTGATAAGAGGTGCCAACAGCAAGGATCCTGTTCTTATATTTGCAAGTAAATTAGTGCCTTGGGATTTAATGGGGAATCTCAGACCTACATCAGTATGCAGCTTGTGTTGCATCATTTTTCTCTTTAAATGCTACCAAGCATTTCACTTTTTAATATTGACAGAACTCTTTCCTTTAGAAGGCAAGTTACAAATATTATAGCTACTTAAGTAATTAGGTAGTTAGAATCAGCAGAGGGTGAAATACTTTGTATTGAAGAGTGCCATAAATTGACAATTTTTATGTAACAAGTATTTAATATGCTTTTTTTTTATTAGTTTGTTTTTTCCATTTACTGACCCATTTTGCACTGGTGTAATGTCACCAACTTTCTGCTGGGCTCCATGTTAAAAGGCAGCACGGTTTTAGCAAGGAACCCTTTGAGTTCCTCTCCCTGATACTTTTGGCACAGTGCTTTTACCTACAGAAACTTAAGGTATTAAGTTGGGCAAATTAAATACAGAAATTCAATAATATCTGATTTTAGCAAATGTTGACATGTTCTTCTATATATTTTTTTGTCAGCCCTTTTACATTAAGAAAGCAAACTGCTAATAATATGATCTTACTTGAAGTCATTCTAAACTATTTTCTCTTTGATTTCTTTTCTTACGTGTTTTAGGGCAGTTGTCCATATCCAAGTAAAGGATGTTAATGAGTTTTCGCCAGCTTTCAAGGAGAGTATGTATAAGGCCACCGTGACAGAGGGAAAGATCTATGACAGCATACTGCAGGTAGAAGCCATAGATGAAGACTGTTCCCCGCAGTATAGCCAGATCTGCAATTATGAAATTGTCACAACAGATGTTCCTTTTGCTATCGATAGAAATGGTGAGTATGGAGAAGGATCTGACTGTAATTTCTGGGACAGATAGTGTTATTTTTTGCAGATAGTGTATAATTAATAATTGATACCAGTTGATAATCCAGCCCTTTGAGTTTTAACTCAAGAAACTAATACTGTTCTCTGAGAATGAAGAAACTGTAACATTGGAAAATTACATCTTTTTTATGTTTGATGTGGTCAGAAAGTGCCACAATAATATGCATCATGGAAATGAAAAAAAGGTTTTATAGATGTGCAGTACTTTTCTCTGACAGTCAGTCTGTTCTCTTAGTTGTCTAAAATCTAGTTTCCTGTGCAGCAGTAATGCAGCATGTAGCCCTACTTAATTTATTTGCAGGTTTATAGCTAGTCCCAGTCTTCTGAACTCTTTGGATGCAGAATGGACACTATACTGACTGTGTTTAGTAGTTCACAGTTCTAATCATTCGTGGCGCTTCCTGAAGTTGGTCTCCTATTCTGCAGTATAGAATAAAATATGCCTTGGGAAAGTAGTAACATTTTTCAAGGGTTTGTAATTTACTTGGTTTTCCAATGTAATATTAAATGGACATCTCAAAAAATAATGAATCATATTAAGTTTTCCATATGGTGCACTTTCTGACATTGGCTTCTCAACCTGTCAGCTTCTTGCTTCTCCTAGTCAAGTTCTTACCGGGGAAAAGCACAGACTTTGTCACTGAGTTTGGGAGAAGTGGCTGGGCTGCATTTAAAATGAGCTAAGGATTCTCCCTTCCCGTTCTCTGCTTGCTTTAGACAATACAAAATAGTGATTCTGTATTTCACGTGCTTCAGCAGTGCCATATTGGCATCATTTTGTAAATAGGAGTGCTGTTTTCTCTGTATCTGGGGCAGAGGCCTGTGATGGACCCATGGGAAGTTCTTCTACATGTGCACCATACTGTGGTACTGAAGGAAATATCCTTCATGTTACTGGTTTTAGTTATCAGTATTCGCATGTGCACCCTTGTGAAAAAATAGAAAATATAAATTCCTGTGCTTACAGAACATGTTTCCCCAACCAAACACCTTGTTTGTATACCCAGCAGAGTGTTCTGATTTATGTGATTTTTTGCCAGTTTGGAGATTGAAAGCATGCATGGAGCTACATTTTCTCTAAGCAGTTGTTTTCATATTGGGATGTTTTATTAGAGAAAGAGAAAAAAAAACCACCTTTCTCTAGTTCAAAAATGATCCATCTTTATTTGCACAGCTCTTGCATCATGTACAGCTGAGCTTCAAAAGATAATAATCTGTTAGCACATCAGTGCAGTGTAAATGGCGTTGGTGGAAAAAGACCACTTGTAATACCATCATTTGGAGGCAAGCATTCTATATACTATATAAAAGATGTAGTCATGAGTATGTCTGTGTTTAGGTTAAATGTTGAGCTGTTTAGGTGGCTTCATGAATAGGCTTGTGACTTTTAATGGCTAAGTAACAGACAAAAATGAGCATTGTATGGAGCAGGCATTCCAATTGCTTATGCCTTTTCAGGTGTTATCTCACAGTGCAGCTGGCTCTTGAGCGATCACGGCTTCTTTTATGTCAGAGGCAGGATCAAAAGCACATTAAATGTCAAGTGTCTTTGGTTACATATTTGTCCCCATGTGCTTGTGACCTGCTTTCCAGCAAAGACAACCAGAAATTGACTTAAAAATCACGTTAAAGGCCAAGATTAATTGGTGTTAGGTTATAATACGTGCAGTTTCTTGGTCATGAATTCAGTTAATAACTCTTTGATCTATTTGTTCACTAAAAGAACACTGCTGCCACAGTCAACAGTAATTGCAGTCTAATTTGCAATTTTTTAAAATAATGGTGATTGCTTAAGCTCACTGGGATTAGAGACAGAGAATAGATGGCTGCACTTTTATTTTGTGACAGAAATATGTTGCTTAGTTCCAACACATTTCACTGCTCAGAATGTGCCTCTTTGCCAGCAGATATAAGCTTTCTCTGATGCAAATTCTTTGGCATTGTTCCCATTTTTGTTACCTGTGGGATATATTAAAGTAGATGTATGAGATGCTTGGGACTGTCTGTTAATGCTGTGCTAATTAGGATTTTGTTTATAGTTTTTTTGCCCATTGTGAAAAACCAATCTAGGGTCTCCATTCTAGTGAAAGTCATGTCATTGTGTCTTGTGGAAGTGATCTTTTTTTTTTTCCACTTTTCAGAAATACAGCTGTGGTATTTCAATTCCCAGAAATTCTCCAAAAGTAAAGGGTTTGTAATTAAAAAATAAAAAATAAAAAAAAAAATGCAACTATTGGTTCATATGTTGAGATGTTTCTTTTGACCACAAACCTGTGCGAATAGCCATTAACAGACTTCGAGATAGATGAACATGCTTTGTCATCAGCTTTTACCTTTTGGTAGATCATTTCCTTTTTAGGCAAAATTTATTTCTTATATCTGTATCGGTCCAGGGAACATTTTGTTGTATTGAAAAATTATATTGCACATTGCAAAACATTTACAGAAAGGAAGAGAAAACCCTCCAGACTGCAGCTATGCACAGTGTACTTCACATCACCAAATTGCGTGAGGTACAAACTGATAAACATTGGCACAGGAAGCAGCATCCAGTATAGACCTTAGTAGGTCATGCATCTAAAGGAAAGTAAAATAAAGCTTCCTAATTTACATTTGGCAACTTTGACTCAGTGCTTTTAATTTCTTCCTGATCTAAATTATTTCACGTGAAGAAAGTCTGGTATTCCTAAGAATTCACATTTAGACACTAATTCTGTTATGACTCTGAACTGCACTCTGACTTTGGAGAAGACGTTTGGTAACTATTACTTATCATTATACCCATTTTACAGAGGAAGAAGCTGCTTGCCCAATCCCTGGGAAGTGCTTAGAAATAAATGTTCAGATAGCTCGGTATGAAGATGAAATCAGTACAAGTTTTGTCAGATCACTTATCTTAGAAAACAGACCTGAGCAGAACCTTGCAAGGTCAACTTTACAGCACTGAGATCTGTATTAGAACCTCTAAAATCCTGATATTGTCAGAAAAGTGAAACTTTTTAGATAACTATTTGCATGTAGTTTTTATTTGTGTGTATTTGTTTATTTATTAAATCATGCTTTCTTTACATTGGCTTAGAAAAGTGCATGTTCTGAAAAGAAGTCATATTAGTCCTCCTATTGGCATACTGTCAAATACAGCGTCTGCTGGCTCTTTGCTGCTGGAGATCTTGTGATGTTGAAGCTGTTTGCAGCATTGCTAGCTCTGGTGTCATGCAAGGGTTTGGAGATTAAAGTTCATACTCCCTGTACATACAGGAAGTAAGCATGAAATTCAAATGGGAATTGCAGTAGTAGAGTAGTTGAGTCTGTCTCCTGTTCTTGTGAATAAGATCTTTAGAATAGGATGAAAGATACCCATAAAACAGGGAAGTCTGTATCAAACTATACCCAAAACTGACCCTGAAGAAACAGCAGTGCAAATGTGTAAGTCCTCACACAAGAATATTCATATTTCTGTTGTTCAGTTAATCAGCTTTCTGTTTTGTTTTTAAATCTGTTATAGCTCTTGGTATTTCCAGGAAAAAAGGCCAACGTTAAGAAAGCTTGAAGAAAATTAATTGTGTATTGTGTAGAGAAGTACTTACTTTTCCCATTGAAATTTCCTTTTTTATTGATTGCCTTTCTGTTCATGGATGAGATGCAAATAGAAATTCTCAGTCTATTGGTAAAACATTAGTCTTTGTTTACAGTGTTATAGTGCTTGGTGTTTATAGTGTTTACCATCTGTGTCTACTTTTAATCATATATTGTAAAATAACTTAGTATAAAGCATCAGAGATAACAGAAAAATTGCATATTTAGGGTATCAATGAATTGCAATAATATCTGCAGGGCATCCAAATGACCTTCCATAACAGCTTGATCCAGAGTAAGCATTCTCATTCAAAGAGATGGTATAAAAACCAAGTGAAGACATGTCAAATACACTATACAGTCTCAAATTTTAGTTTAAGTAGTGAGGGCATTTCAGTGGAAATGGGCAGAATTAAAATGCTAACTCTTTAATTACATGTTCATACAGTTACATAGTAATCTCCTAGTCTTGCAGGAAGTGCTCTGAGAAAGACATTTCTTTGTGAAAGTTATTTCTTTGATCCTGAAACAAGTGATTTGTCACCTTCGTATGTGTGTTAGGTTCAGCAGGTAATTTCTGGTATTGCTGAGTTTTATTTTCCATGTGGTAGCTCAATTCTGTCATGTCAAATACTGCTGAGCTTTCTTATGTAGAAGGTGATTTTGCACCTTACATTTAAAATCCAGGGGAAGGGGTTAAATATCTCTCACTTAAAGGATAGTAACTTTAAGGGGAAAAAATACTTAGGCTGGACTTATATTCAGCATTAGATCTCAAGAGAGCAAGGTGCAGCTGCCACATTAAGGCAGTGTGTTCTGGGAAGATGTGGAAGATGAGCATCTGCTCATACTTGGCATTTGAATATTAATCTTTAAATAGTCTTAGTCTTACTTCAGAAAATATTGAGCAGGTGTTTGCTACAGACGTGCCCATATGTAGTAAAGACTAGTAAAGTTGTAAGTTGTCTAATAACTTCCCTTCATCCAGTAAAGAAATAAAGTCCTGCCCATCCCTGTGGACGTCCTGTGTGTTCCAAAGAGCTTATGATTTGATGAACTCTACCTTGAATGTGATAATCCACATATGCCAAAATTCCTGAATGTTATCTTTTATTGAATCTGTAGGTAACATCAGAAACACTGAGAAGCTAAACTATGATAAACAGCATCAGTATGAGATAATGGTGACAGCTTTTGACTGTGGACAAAAACATGCGAGAGAAGATGTCTTAGTGAAAGTTAACGTCAAACCAGTGTGCAAACCAGGCTGGCAAGGTAAGGTTTAATAGCTTGTATATCCCAACCCCCCTTCTATCCCTGGGCTAGCAAGCAAATGCATACACAATATTTTCTAAGTCTGTCTAAATATACTGAAGGGTTAAAAATTTATTCTGGCTTGTCTTTCTCCTTGGAATCCGCTTTCATCTGTATGCACAAATGCATGAGTGAAGGCTTGTTCCATCTGCAGTGGGTACAAAAGGCAAAGTTTATCTTGATTATTGTCATCATATTGAGAGAGTTCAGTAGGAATTTATTTTTGAAAAACAGTTCTAAGAAGCTGCAGTCTACCATCTAAAATGAGGAAAAACCCAGCTAGTGATGAAATGGGAAGATGCAGAGTAGAAGGAATTAAGATGAAAAGGAAGGCTGAATTAAGGAAAAATCATACAATTCATGCAACCACATTATGGAGATTTCACTCAGGACTAATCTGACCTTCAAAATTGTAATTTTTAAAGAGAATAATCCAGAAGGAAAGAATCATTTTCATTACTGCACTTGCAGGTGAATATATAGAAATGACACTTAGGGAAAAAAGTGTTTAATTTGTAAATTGAGACCACCTCTTGTGTAGAAGACTTCACAATGACGTACATCTGAAATGTCATAATTCCATTTTCACAGTCTTCATTTAAAACAGAACCACATTTTATTTTTTCATGGATGCCCCCACCTCCATCAAATATTTCAAAAAGCATTTTTTTAAAAATATAACACTACTAAGTATTTCCACATTTTATAACACAAGTTCTTGATTTATACCATATTAATAATATGGTCTCTACACTTCGGAAATGTTTCAGTTTTGTGGAGTCGTGTCTAATCACTGGTACACATTTTCTCTTAGAATTCCTATTGGAAAGTTGCTGACTTTTCATTTGCCCAAGGGAATTTTAGTGACTGAATAATTTTTGCCAAGAGATATCAGTAATGATATATTGCCAACTATTGTCATAGCTATATAAGAGATCACGTATCAAACATACTTCTGGTGATCATTCGTGGTCATACCAAGTACATACACTTACAAACAACCACAAATAAAGTTGGTTTTATTTTCATTTATGGATACTTTGGTTTATCTTCAATTATGTGGGGTTTGTGATTCTAATGAAAATCTGGAATTAAACTTCTATTTTAGGCATACAACTTTTTTTTTTTTTTTTTTTTTCCCCTCCTAGAAGTAAGGCTGTATGTTAAACCAACCACTGTGACAGGCTGCCAAGTTGTTAGCTGGAAGCAACCTCTTAAAAAACAACAACAAAAAAAAAGCACGATGTGGTAGTTTAAAGCAGCTTGACTAAAGTGTCTCTAGTAAGGAAGGATGTGTTTTTCTAGTATTCATTTTGCTTGAATTTGGACTTAGTAGTTCTGTAGTAAACTAGCACAAATGCACTCTGTCTTTATTCTGTCTGATAAAGTTTTATGATAGCTCTTTATTATAGGCAGGGCAAAAATATCAGATAGTTCAGATATTTTCTGCTTGAGCTTATTCCTTGCCTGTGGAATTGTATCTTTCTGTCTGTCAGCAAGGTGACTACTTCATTTTGCTGGCAAGTCTCTGGGTTGATTGTCACATGGTGCAAGTGGATGGTATTTTGTCTTCGCAGGGTATAAGATACTTAAATAAATAATTGGGTGTGAGACATTAGTTCTTAACTATCAGGTCAGTAATTATTGTTTGAAAGAAAGATGCAGCATAATTCTTTCAGAAATTTCTTCATTTGTTTTATAGATACAGTTTTTAAAAACCTACTTATTTCTAAATGTGAAGATAGTCACATATTTGATGGTGTTTTTCATTTTGAACCAATATCTGTAAAGACTAAGTGCTGATAGAAAGAAATCAACTAAGAAAAGCCTACTGATAGTATTTCCATCACTTAGAGAAGAAATCTGGAGGGAGACTAAGAATGGAAAATATTTAAGAGTGTTTTTACTTCCCTGATGCCCTATCCCAGGCACAGAATGTGGCACTTGCTCTTGTTAAACTTCAACCAGTTGCTGATTGCCCAGGTGAGCACTTACTACCCAAGTAACAGTGTGCATTTTTTGATTTGCTTCCAGAACGATTGTTTTTGCTGCAGTACTTTTACTGTCATATTGATATTGACTGCTATAAAGCTATAGCTGTCTAAATCAGTTCAGGAGAAAGAAACATGTAGCAACACAGAAATAGATACATGTATAGCACTTTTATAAAAAGCATCAGGTCATAGGTGAAATAAGAATCATAAATTTGTAACTTAGATCATGTTCATTTAACCTGTTAATAATACCATAATAGTGAATTATCTTTCATTACTTGTAGGACCAGTTCCATGAAACTGAAGGAATCATTCTCCCACAGTTGGGTTAGCAGAAATAAATGAAATAAGACAATGTGCTAAATAATGTACTAGAAAAGCATAGAAGAAGAGTTTAGCCACAATAAATAAATAAATAAAGAGCAGAGTAATATAACAACCTAATCTATACTTTGAGATTTTTGAAGTTTTGCTCAATTACTGGAAGTCAAGCCAGAATTGAGGTCAGGTTGTTCCTAAAACTTACTGATTTCAGATGAAATGTAGTTAAAATGGCATAAAATGCACAAACAAAGGAAGGCACAACAAAAAAACAAAAACCTCCCCTAAAACAAACAACAGGATGCCTCAAGAAAGTGTTGGAGGATTCTGGCTTTTCCAAAACAGACAGGGAAAGGTTGAATAAGTGTCCTGGTTGTGGCAAGGATGGAGTCTCTGTAGCTGATACGGTGCTGTGCTTTGGATTTAGGATGAGAATAACGTTGATAGCACATCAGTGTTTCAGGTGTTGCTGAGTAGTAGTTGCATTACATCAAGAACTTCCCAGTTTCCTGTGCTGTCTGCCAGAGAGGAGTTGGTGGTGTAGAAAATGTTGTGATGGGACACAGCCAGGACGGCTGTCCAAAGGTGGCCAAAGGGACATCCCAGATCACAGGAGTTGGCGGGAGGGGGTTGGAGGCTGCTCAGGATTCAGCTGGACAGTGATCAGCTAGTGGAGAGCAATTGCACTGCGTTATCACTAGTTTTGTGCATTCTTTTCATTTCTCCTTCTGTTTGTTTTCCTGTAACAGCTGTCATAATCTGAACACTCATGTTCTATTTTTTTTTTTCCCCAATTCTCTCCCCCATTCCTCTGGGGAGGGAGAACGGGTGAATGGCTGCGTGGTGCTGAGCTGCCTGCCAGATGAAACCACAGCTGTCTTTTTTGTCACTCAGCATGGGGCCAACAAAGGGTTGAGGTAACAGCAGATCTGACCAGAGCTTGTTAGCAAATTAGTTTGTAATTGATTATAAATATTATATGTTTAATTGCTGTTGATCACAATGTTGATTTATTTACTCTCAGAGTTTATTTGTTCACAATTCTGTTTTATGTAACTTATCTGTTGCTAATTATTGCCACTGAATGATGGCGTTAGGTTGGTTTTTGGTTTTCTCAGTTTTTGTTCCATCCATGAAATTTGTTACATTACACCAACCAGTGCCCAGCCCAGTCAGTCCCCAGTGGCTATCTTGGGGAGGTCAATGTATAGCAAAGACAACAGAACAAAAGCTGTACCTAATTATCTGAGTTTTGTGCACAATGTATTTTAGCAGAGTAACACGTTCCTTAAACATCCTCAATTTCACTTTGTTTTTGGTGTTTACTTAAAAGTACTTTGGAAGTAGAAACTTCCATTAAATTACCTAATAGATTGATACTTGTCAGAAATTTTTATAAAGATATTGTGTGTTCCATTTGTAAGGCATGTGTGGTTTATTAAGGTGGTGAACTATGGCTTTTCTGCCACCAAAGGCACATTCCTATAATCTCTTTCAGGTGAGCTAGTCATTCAGAGACCATATGAAGGTCACATCAGCTTGCTTCTCCTGCTGAAATATAATCTTTTGTTCAGAGAAGGGCAGGACCTTCTCTTTTAGTAGCAGAGGGATGTTAGAACATTTGTGAGTACACATACTTCACATACTATTTATAGTAGACTTTGCATGAAAGAGGCTGGTCAGGTACAGAAACCTCACAGAACAAAATCAGAAAACTTCCTAGTCCTGAGGAACAACTTTAAAAACTAAGATAAAAAAATACAACAAAAAAAGTCATCACAACTAAATGTTTTCTTCAGTAAATATAAATTGACTTCCAGTCTCATTCCATGCATGCACCTGGCAGTTTAAATTGTAATGCTTGTGTTGTTTTAGCTGTAGATATTTGCCCATTTTTTTTGAAATGAAAGTTATTGCTTTATGACTTTATGCTACTCTAATCTTGGAGCTGCTGTGTATGTGTCATTAAACTAGGGTAATTATAATGAAATGCTCACATTGAGCTGTTAAATTGAATCACAGTCTTTAGTAGAATACCTAGTCTCATCTTTTCTAGACATTTGAAAATTAATTGAATTGCTGAGTAGCTCTAGTTGTGGGGCTCACAGGTTATGTGAGTTCATACTCCTTTTCAGCACTTGTTCTGGCATGGTTCTGCTGTTTACCTACCAGACATACTTAGACAAAGCAGACAGATCTGTTTCAACCTCATTTTTAAGCTAGAACTGCACTTCGTCAGCTAATTCTGCTTATGTCTTATGGTTAAATATACATGAATGTTCCAGATAAGTGGTGGCTTTTTGTTATGTCTTTTACTCTTTTTTTGCCTGGCCATATCAGACTGGTGGTTCACAGGTGTACTATTAACCTAACAGAATTAGCTCTTTTTCCATGTTTCCTTCTTTTAGTACTGGTGCACAAGTTTACTGAAGAAGTTCCTGACCACGAACTGGTACTTTGTATCATAATCACAAAGCAACGTTTCTTTAACAGTTACCAAGGTCATCTTGTCCTGTGCTCAGTATATTCTGTTCCCACATTGACTTTCAGTGTAGGATTACCTTCCAGTTTCTTCATCAGCAACAGTAATTAATACAGTTTTGCATCAAGATCAGGAGTAGAGAAGTCAAGTAATCCCAAGGTAGATTCATAAGGATCCTTGCTAGATGGATTCCCTGTGTTCCACAAGCTTTGCTTTTTCAGAGTAACCTATTTTTGCCTTCTCAAGAGAATTCTGTAAGGCCTGTTGAGTAAAAAAATCCAAGTGAAGACTGTCTTTTGCCAGGCTAAACAGGGCTGATTTTAATCAAGTTTTTCCCATTGGCTTTCCCCTTCCCCCCACACTGGGAAGTCAGTGTTTACCTCCCTAAATTTGTACTGTAATGTGGTAATGCTGTACATTAGCTTGTGCCAAAGGAGAAACAATACTGTTTGAGTTTAGTTAATCAAGCACAACCTGCTGTTTCAGATGGGGATACTTCTGCCTGTTTGAAAAGCATGGACATGAGTCACATTTTAAGATCCAGTTCAAAATACCTGTTCTGAAATTCAGTCTTTGCAGACTTAGGTTACATAAGGTTCTTCCTCTGAATCAATTCTAGAGGAACTGAAAAATTGCCACAACATTCCTGAGGGGAAGGTGCTGGTCTTTTGAATGTATCCAATAGAGGATGCAGTTTTAGGAGAAAATAAAATGACCAACTTTGCCACATTCGATGTTAAATGAAAGATTTGGGTCTTTCTCACAAATCCTTTTTTCTCATTTAAAAAAAAAAAAAAAAAAAAAAAAAAAACCAAAGAAAAACCAAAGAAAAAAACCTCTTCACACTGCCAGTGGTTCTTTTTGCTAGTTCTGACTCTATGCCCTTTTCAACACTACTAACTTCACTAGTAGTCAGACACAGAAGACGCTGGCCTCAAGCTCAGTGCCTCTGGGACACTGAAATGCCATGGGGACAGTTACTATATAAATAAGACAGTTGCAAAGCTGTTACTAACTTTAAGGTATCCCAGGTATTGCCCCATGCCTGCCTGGTAAGGCTTTGTGTGTGGTTTGGGGTAGTCCTTGGCTGTCTTTGTAAATATACACTGAAGCCTCTTTCCATCAGTGAAAGACGTTCAAGTGAGACTTAGGATTTTGGATCGATCTGTGATGCTGCAGGAGACCAAGGTACAAAGACATCAGTTCAAGCGTAGTTGATATTTTACAATTTAGAGCTGAGAAAAATGCAGGTAATTTAGAACATTCAGGGCTTACGATTCCTGGTCACAAGTCATCATTTTTAACAAGTAGAAAGGTAATACTGGGAAATGAAACAACTCTTCCAATTCAAGGGACGCCCATATAGCAGTAATAGAGCACCATTATTCTTCCATATGAGTTGAAGCGTTTTATTTATTGTATTTTATATGAAGCATTCTTCATGTATCTGCAGTTGCATGTGCACTTGCATGTAGATAAGTTACGGTGAGTAATTTAGTTACATTTCCCAATAATATTTTGCATGAGAGCCATTTAATTAATTATAATGGAGAAACAAGAAAGTGTCTGAAATCTGAAAGCTGCTGAGATATAGATTTGACTATTATTTTTCTTATTGGTGAGGAATATAATGCTTTACTAGTGAATAAGAGATTAGAAAAAGTAATAATTCTTGTTAATTCTTACATTATTAGCATATGTTCAAAACAAGCTGTTTTATTTTTACCTTAAGTATTTGCAATAATTTTCTGCTCTCATTTGATTGCAGAAATGTTAATTTCAACTTTCAAAAATGGATTAGAAAGATAAATCTGTTGTTGTAATGATATACACTATGATTCTTGAAATTCAGTGGGAACTGTCTACGTTGACAGTAAAGAGAAATGTATGCAACAGTGCAGATCAAATCTCACTTTATATGGAATATTACTACCCGTAAATTAGTACTGCAATAGTAGCTCAGCTGGTATATGCACAGGCAATAAAGTAGTCATAGCTGTCTTTTAGTCAGGGATGTCCTAAAAATTGTAATAAAAATAGTGCTAATGTCTACAGAATGTTCTTTGAAGTCTCAGCTTCCTCATAGAAGCAAAATGCTTTGTCATCACCATTTGTATTAAAAGCCACAAAGAAAATCTGAGAGTCCCAATGCAGATGCAGATTGTCAGCATATCATCTTTTTTGTCTGTACTCTGGGCTAGCAATTGCTCTGCATTTCAAAGTTTTTGCCTGAACTGCCAGATTTAGTTATGGCATTTATAGAGCACTCTTCTTCAAACTTTCTGAAAACTAAGTCTCTTGAAAAACACCAAACTTTTTCACTTACTGAATTCATAGAGACTGCCAGGACCTAGTTGTTTTGTGTTGGTTTTTTTTTTTTTCCATTTATAGACTCCTCTTTTACCTAGGACTAAAAATAGAGGAACTTTAACTGTGTATGCAAGAGTAATTCTGGTGGGAAATTTTACAGGTACACAGATGGTACACTCTGGTAGCAAAGATGAATAGTTTTGTGACTTCAAAATAATTAACTGTTTACATCTCTGTATTAGGGTGGCAGTGTCATTTATGTTCTTTAGTAGGCTGGCTACAGTTTGCTGAAAAATATGAACAGGAAATAGCCAAAAATTCATGTTTTTAACTAATGATGCTTGTTTAGGATTTCTCTGAAGCAAGTTGTAGTTAATTGGTTTTTAAAAATTAAATGCTTCAGTTGAGAAACAGTGGTATGTATACCATGTCCAGGTGGCCTAAGGCAGGTGATTGTTCAACGTTCTGTCGGCTGTGAAACATCTGCACAAGCAGAGCTTGGCCAGACCTAGCTGAATGCATGAGTAGTCTTTTGAGGTATAACTTCCAGTCATGGATACCTAACAAAATTGAAAGACAACAGGTAGCACTATAGACATGTTATATTAGCTTTTGGACACAGTGCAGTAAGACTGATGCCTCTTGCAGGTCCTTAGAGATATTTCTTCTTATCTCGAACTATGAAATCTAACCAAATTCAGTGAAGCCAACAGCTTCATCTCAGTAGAGCTAGCTTGCAGGATGTCATATCGGCATGGACATTGGAGACCCAGACCGATTAGCACTTATGTCAGAATATGTAACTTGTGTTTGTGTGATTTAGTGGTATTACTTAATAGAGCCTGATGGTGAGGCAAAACCAAATTTATAGGATATTAATAAAAGAAATGATTTTTATCTTAGCCAGGGGCATTTGATAGCAGTATGTCATCTAAAATTACATAATTCCTTTCCCTTTTTTAATCTCTCTTGAATTTTTTGTTGTTGTACTTTTCCAGATTGGAACAAACGTATTGAATACAAGCCTGGTTCTGGCAGCATACCGTTGTTTCCCAGTATTCATCTGGAAACGTGTGATGGCCCAGTTTCATCAATACATACAACAATTGAATTGCAGACCAACTATATTGGAAAGGGCTGTGATCGTGAAACCTACTCAGAAAAATCTCTGCAGAAACTATGTGGTATGAACATGGCTGTCAGTCAGTATAACAATCTTTTTACAGAAAAAGTGCCAAATCCTTTTAACTTGTAAGCATGCAATATATGCATTTAGCTCAGCTGGTCCATCTTTGATTGTAGCAACAAAAATCAAGGAACTGATGATTAACTAGTGCCCTATTTACTTCCATTTATTTTCACTTTTTTTTTCATGCCTTTTTCCTGCTTCACTACTTCTTCTTTTATTCAACTCCTGCTCTTCCTTTCTTTATTTTTTCCTATTTTCTTATCCTACATCTTTCACTTTTTTTTTCCTTTGGTACTAATTCTGTTTTTGTGACAGTATATTGAGATTTCACTCTATAACTGGCCATCAAAAGAAGACCATAGGATTTCATAATTGAATCTATCCTGTGTTTTAAGTCTTCCTCACTCAGCTTTCTGCTCTGCTGCTAAGTACTGTGCCAGAGCAAAAGCAAACAAAAATAAAGGAAATTATGGGCAACCATTTGAGGGAAAGTATTTAAGAAACACTTGTGGAGACTGAGAAAAGAGGTAAACATGAATAACAGAATTCACATAATGTCAAAATATTTTCAATCTGAAAATTGCTTAGTTTAATCCTATATCTCTGTCCAACTAAGGCCCTAAGAAAAAAAAAAGAGAGAAAGCCCATTACCATTTGTATGCATCATCACATTCATGATGTTAAAATTGAGAGGTTGAACAAAACTATGAGATCAGACCCTGAACTGGATTTCATAAAATGTTAGTGTTCTAAATAAAAATAAATACATTATAGCTTAAGTCAAGTGCTTTCGCTGACTTTAAGAACTTAATGTTGGTAGCAAAAAGAACATCGCTTTATGCCTGTTACAGACCTGTACTGCAAATGGCACGAACACTCTGAGCAGCTCCTTATTAACATTACTTTACCTGCTAACACTTAAGGACTAGCACCTTGAATTTCAAGTTTTTCTATTTTTCTACTGAATAAACTGGACTTTTCCCCAATGTCTAACTTTAATTCAGTGGCTGGCTGTACCATGTATAGTCCTAAATAGGTTAAAAACAGAATGGTCAGTACATTTCCACAGGTTTGACAATGGCATTGTAGTAGCTGCAGGCAGTGTATGAGCTAGTGGACAGAATCTAACTATACTGCTGAACTTCCAGTTTTAGCTTAGCATATCTGTGAAGGAATGGGATGTAAAGCAGTTGAAAAAATAGAATGTAAAAAGTATATGTAAAGGAAGTGGGGAAAGTCTTACTGATGAAAGAGCATTTTTTTTGTCCAAGGTTTCCATTTCTTCATAGAGAAGTATAGGCAAGGTAGAAATTGATAATAGGACTTTGATAAAAAGGTTAAAATGAAAGTGGACTTTATACCAGAATTGCATTTGGAAAGATTTACATTTTGATGCTTGGCTTTTGTTGCCATCCTTACTGTAGAGATAACAGGTAATCTTATGAAAGCAAGTTAAATAAATTATTTATGGAAAACAGCTTTCTTCTAGAAATGATCTTATTTTATCTTATGGTTGAATAAATAAATTCTTAGTGAAGGAAGAAAACCCTGCATTTTTTTCATCAGTGAAGTATTGTGTGATTGCAGAGAGTGCAGAATTGAATGATCAGAGACAAGTATTCGTTTGTGCCATGTAAAAAGCAAGATTGTCTCTCTGTAACTGAGGATCCAGTTTATAAATCCTGTGCTCAGTTCTTAATTAGTCAGTTAGAAATGCAGAGGATTCAGGTGCTGAGGACCATGCATTAAAATTCACTTATTTTTATGTGACTGATCGCTCATCTCTGCCTTTCAGTAATTCAGTGACGCGTACTTACTTTTGACAGTAAAGGGTGGGCAGTTTTACTGATTAAATTGCAACCAAATCATTTAAAGTCAAGGACTTATTAGTATTGTGCCTCAAAGCATTTTAGGAAGTGTTTTTTTTTACCTTGTCATCCAACAATAATAAATAACAATGTGTGACAGACTCAAGGGTCCCCCCCCCCAGTTAATTCTAACAAATAAATGCATTTAACTAGGGACCACTTACTAATGATTTACATTCTGGAGAGGGGCTAATCTGAGTTCTGAGTACCACTGAAGTCCTGTATTTATCATTAGGCAAGAATACATGGAGCTACTGCACCCTGACACAATCCAGCATTAAAGTGATACTAATTATACAGTGAATATTCTGTATGCAATGATATTCATACCAACAATACGAGAATCCATTTCTGTCTGTTAGACATCAGGGCACTTGTTCTACATTCATATCCACTGTACTGAATTTGGCAATACATCACCCCCGTGTACTACATATCTCTGTGCAGACAGCAAAGAGGATGTAAAGCCTTCCTGTTGGAAGTATAGAACTTTGTTTTAGTCTTAGCGCTTCTTGAAATAACTGAAGAAATGTCACTAATGAATTTTAGAAAATAATGAGAAACTTCTAAGAGAAGTGACGTTTTCTGTAGTCACTGTGCAGTATGTTTCACCTACTGCTTTTACTGGTTTAGCATGCTTGCTACTAAATAATGTGCATGTAATTTGACAGTGAAGCTTGCAGGACCATTTGGGATGTGAAAATAATATAAACATGTGAATCAGGCCCCACGCCCATGGTAAATTAATCTGTACAGCCTTTTCATTAGTCTCTCATTGTGCTATTAATTACATACTGTTTGCAGGAGCATCCTCAGGTGCCATTGATCTCTTACCATCTCCCAGTGCAACAACTAACTGGACGGCTGGGCTTCTCATGGATAATAATGACATGATTTTTAAATTTGATGGAAAACAAGGAGCCAAAATCCCAGATGGAATAGTCCCAAAGAATTTAACTGATCAATTCACCATCTCTTTGTGGATGAAACATGGACCTAGCCCAGGACTAAGAGCAGAGAAGGAGACTATTCTCTGCAACTCTGACAAGACAGGTGAGTCTTTCTGTTGAGGAGAAAGGCATAAAATATTTGGTGAAGCTCTATAAGTAGTTAAGTTGAATATTGATTTGGGTCTTGTTTATTAACTTGGACATAATGCTTCCATAAAATGAATATGGCATAGTTCTGGGAGATATTAGATAGCTTTCACTAGAATCATAATGATGCACAATATTGGAAAAAACATAATTTTGATTTGTTGGGTTTTTTATCTTTTAGCTGTGTATTGCTTTGAAACACTTTAACCTAAACAAAAGTGTTGACGATAGTTCAGCTCACTAATCTTCCCGCACCTCTTTCAGAGATGAACCGACATCACTATGCCTTGTACGTGCACAACTGCCGATTAGTCTTTCTGCTGCGTAAAGACTTTGATCAGGCTGACACCTTCCGCCCTGCAGAGTTCCACTGGAAACTGGATCAGGTACTTGTGGCTTTTTTCTTATCTGTAACCCACCCATATATCCATCTGCTTTAGAATCGTAGAGAACAACTCAAAATACTGATGCAATTGTTTGGGGAAATCAGAAGACTTCTTTGGTTACGTTTGAAATTCCAACTGTTGTGAGACTTTACTGGGCTGCACAGAGGAAGTTAAATTAGTTAGCTTGGCTGAATCATTCATTTCAGTTCTTTAGTGGAGTCATATTAAACACTAAGTAGAGGTTTATATCCATTGTTAGTGGAGAATCTTGGAGTCCTGACATTACATGTAGTTCCATAGAAGTTTTCCATTTATCATTTAAAAAAAAAAAACAATCTGCTGTATCAGCATAATGGAAGTGATACAAGTCTTCTTCACTACAGAGTATGCTGACATGTGGGAAGCAATTTTTAATATTTTTTAAGTCTAATGTATGGATTTTCACTTTCATCTGCTATGCTGTAATTTCTCATTTTTATGAAGAGTATATTGTAAGGAAATTATTATTAAAGAGATAAGAGTTGTCTTTGAAATATTTATCAATTTTAAACAAGATAGGAATTATTTGAATAAAAGAAGACACATCTCATCAAGTTGGTATTTTACGTAAGCAAGCTTATTCATGTATTTTGGCCCACACTGTATCAAAGATGTAGATATAGGAGTGGTAGCTTTGCTGATTTACCTTAAGAATGCCTATTAAAAGTACATTTGTGTCTTGATTATCAGAAGAATGTGGTGATAAACCATGGGATGATCATAGTACTTGCTTTTCATATCCATTAACCAGTTTGGAAACAGTTTCTGCTGTATGTGATATGAAATCTTGGTGCCTAGAAAGGGATACATTTGAACTATATCATACTTAAGACTAACAGTCTCAAGTAACCAGTGTCAGCTCAGAAGATACTGTTCTGAGTGCTAAGATGAATTTCAAATGGCTTTATAGTAAAGATCTAAAATCATCAGTGGTACTACAAAGTTTATGTAAAATGTGAGATCGACTTCAAAAGTAATGCTTCCTGTTCAATGATGTTGGTCCATGATGTCAGCGGCAGATGTTGACAGTATGGCAATAGAGATTGTACTTTCCCAACAGTATTCCATTGCATTTTGCTGCCATGTGACAGATGGCAGCAGAGAGGCAGTCTGACAAAATGGTGTCTGACATGGGAAGTGTTTATGAAGCAAAGGGTGACACTGAATTTCTGCATGCTGAAAAGATTGCACCTATTGGCATATATCATTGCTTGCTGAAGGTTTATGGAGACTAGACAGTGGATGTGAGCAGTGGTGAGAGCAATGTGAAAGTCAGACTACAGCCATGCAGGCTTGTTTATCACTGCTGAAAATGCATAGCTAATGGTAGTGGCTCTGTTGAAGAAAAGTGTTTTGTAGCTGAGAATTTTCTCTATCAAATAGTGTTATTGTGCTCTTTGTTGTAGTTTTCATGGAGATAAATAGGAGGCATTACTTTTGGAATGACTGTATTTGGACTTGGAAAGCTGAATGCAGTCAGTTTCTCTGCTGTATCTTGAGAATGGGAGAGTAACTGTGTCCACTCAGTAAAAGAAGTTTATGTGTAACTCTTGTAACTTAGCCATGATGAAGCATTGGAAAATGGACTGTCAACAAGAATTTTCCATTTTCAGGGGATGTATCTGATCATGTGAAAGAACTTTTTCGTCTAATGTTACCATCTGCAGTTACTTCATTCGCACTTTAGTTTCTCCATATCATTTCCAGAGTTGGTTTGTTGTTTTTTAAAAAAAGATATAAATCAGAAAGTACTGAAATGCTATTATCTTTCTGATTCTATTTTTCCTCCTTATATCACAAAATAGACAGTATATCCTAAACTACTTGAGGTGGAAGTATACCATGCTTTAAGTGTGGCATTTTATAAATAATTGATTCTTTCAGTAGGGAATTTTTTGAGAGTAACTTTTTCATGAGCCTACTCACGAAACATTCTCTTATGTGAACTCCAAAGTACAAATAAAATTGAACTACAATATACATTCTAACCAAGCTGCCATGTGAATTTGTGTGTCAGTAAGATAAAGCTCATGTTTTGGCAATTAATTGCATCTCTAATATGATCTGACTTCCTCATAAATGGAAAAAATTCTCATAGGGCAGGACCAAAGCTGCTATAGTACAACTCATAGCAGTCTCTTCCTGGTTTTTTTCCATTTCTTGCAAATGCCCCATGATTTCAATAGCATGGTTTCTGCAGGGGAGTAGCTGTGTACCCACATGATGCTCTGCAATGTCAGCCATCTCCCAGGTCCAACCAGAAAAAGACACTTAAGTACATTTGTTGATGGCATAAACCAAGAGATGTATAAGCCCTCTTTGGTTCCTGTGGTTTTATTTGGTATTTTAGAAATTTAGAAAGCAAGATAAAAAAAAAAGTCAGTGATGTTCTTTAACATCAAAGGAGGTGATCCTCCCCCTCTACTCTGCCCTGGTAAGACCTCATCTGGAGTACTGTATCCAGTTCTGGGCTCCCCAGTACAAAAAAGACAGGGATCTCTTGGAAAGAGTCCAGCGGAGGGCCACGAAGATGGTGAAGGGCCTGGAGCATCTCTGCTATGGGGAAAGGCTGAGTGAACTGGGTCTGTTCAGCCTTGAGAAAAGAAGACTGAGAGGGGACCTGATGCAGGTCTATAAATATCTGAGGTGTGGGGGGCAGAGCAGCGAGGCCAGACTGTTTTCAGTGGTGAGTGGAGACAGGACAAGGGGAAACGGCTGGAAACTGCAGCATAGGAAGTTCTGCACCAATGTGCGCAAGAACTTCTTTACAGTGAGGGTGATGGAGCACTGGAACAGGCTGCCCAGGGAGGTGGTGGAGTCTCCTCTGGAGATGTTCAAGACCTGCCTGGATGCCTACCTGTGCGACCTACTGTAGGGAACCTGCTTTGGCAGGGGGGTTGGACTCGATGATTTCTGGAGGTCCCTTCCAACCCCTACAATTCTGTGATTCTGTGATTCTGTGTAAACCTTCTAGATTACACTCCCTTCTACAGGACTAAGTGCTAAATCTGTGAAGGAAAGGCTTGATCTGTCTGAATGCAGGACTTGAGAATGTGCTAAGTTTGAGGTCAACACTAAACTGCATGAGCTGTTGAGTCCTTGCAGAAAGACCTTGACAAATGTGGGCAATCACCAGCTCACCAGCTACATGAAGTTGAAGTGCCAAGTGCAAGTGCCAAATTGGCACCTGGGATGGGACAGCTCAGAATATATGTACAGACTGGGGGACAAGAGGCAGGAGAGCAGCCCAACATAAGGGAATCTAGGCGTTCTGCTTGACAGCAAATTGAATCTGAGCCAGCAGAGAACGGGATGGAGCTGTGTCAGGTGGGGGTTAGGGAAAGGTTCTTCTCCAGAGGGTGGTGGGCATGGCCCTGAGCTGCTGGAGAGTTTGGATACCACTCTCAGACATAGGGTTCGGGTTTGGGTGGTCCTGTGCAGAGCCAGCAGTTGGCCCTGATGATCATTGTGGGTCCCTTCTAACTGAGGATGCTTTGTGATTCTGTGTTTCATTATCAAGTTGATTGTTGTGTGTGATTAGCCTTACACTGGAAATAGAGTAGCATTGATGTTACTGACGAGCTATACATACTCTTCATTTTTATTCTTTAATGTTTACAAATATCTAAAGGGAGGTGGGAGGCAGATGGATGAGACCAGGCTCTTTTGAGTAGTGTGTAGTAATAGGACAAGGAGCAGTGGCCTAAAACTTGAACATGGGAAGTTACAAACATGCATAAGAACTCCTTTATGGTAAGGGCAATGGGGCACTGGAACAGGTTGCCCAGAGCAGTTGTGGCGTCACCTTCTGTGGAGATATTCAAGAGCCATTTGGACAGCATTCCAATAAAATCTCCTTGATCTCAAAAGGGAAAGAAGTAAAGGCTAGATTTTCAAAAGTAAATTAACTGCTCCTGTTGGTTTTTTGTTTGTTTGTTTTTAAGAAAAGAATGGGAATTAGGCTGTAGCTAACTGTTGGATGTTTTCTCACAGTCTGCAATGCACTGATATGCAGTGCTACAGGTCAGGTTGCATACATAACTGTGGAAGGCAGCTCAATGGTTGGTACAAAGCACAGCTAGAGCAGAGGAAAATGTGGCAGCATACTTCATTGCTGAGTTCACTTTATGATGGCAACACAATTCATGGCTTGTTTTTCTGAGAGGAATCTTGTGACCTTGGAATAGGGTGAAGCATAAACCAGTGAAATCATTTATCATTGTTACAGCAGAGTAGTAAAATTTATTATACCAGCTGCTTTGGGCTTTACCTAGCCCACAAAACTACTCATTCTTTCCTGGCACTGGCCAGGAATGTGACTTTATTACCATTCCAAATTTAATTCTTTAGATCACATCTCTGTGATGTGGAAGAGTGGCACAAACCTAAGTTGCAGTCTCTGTTCTTGGCCAAATACAAGAGGTTGTGTCCCATTTTATATACCTACACATGAGCAGTGCCTCTGAAGCTCTGAGATGCAATGCAGCCATAACTGTAATGCAGAGCAAGTGTCTGAATCTTCCACATAGCTGTGGTGACCAAGGGTAGTTCTGGAGAATTTATTTTCAGTGTGACTTCAAAGGTTTCCAGCCCTAATTGCTATGCTAAAGCAGATGGACTTCAGTGAGGAAATTTCTTGCTTATTATACAATGTGCATATGCCTGTGTGTATGTGTCCCTTTACTATTAAACTGTTAAGAAAGTATTAATAAGAGCTAACAGACTTTGAACTGAAAGTGCCTTTGTTTTAAGAAATAGGAGGAAAGGTGGAGTGGAAGAAACTGATTCCCCTTCCCTCCCCCCAACTTCTCATACTTAATTATTTGACTCCATTCATGGCATAGTACCTATTACAAAGAGGCTTTGTCAACAAAGTCAGTAAAAGGCACCTAAACCAGTATCTAATTTTCTCAAGCGAGTAGGAATAGGTGTGCTAAAAGTGGACAATTTAGGTAGCCAAA